CAGTCCTCAAGGCGCACGAGAACAGGATTGCCCAGCTCAAAGAGGAGCATAGGCAGGACCAGCTCCGTATCGACAGGATACACAGGGAGCGCCTCAAACTTCAGTTAAGAGAAGGCGAAAGCCTCTCGCATTGCGGTCAGCGCCTCTCGCCCAGGCGGCCGCGCAAGCTTCGTGAAGGAGGCGATGCCGCCAGGCGTTAAACCTACGCCATGCAGCTGTAATTCAGCCCAGGCCTACCTCTTCCCTCCTTACCTCTCTCAGCTTCCTTTACTTCGCTCCTCCCCCCACAGGCCATGATGCGCGAGCTCAGCACCTTGGGCAACGCCGACGCAGACGAGGACATGCCCGCTGCTGAAGCGGCCCCGGGGAGGCACCTAGATTTGCTCCGCATTATGGAGCGGCTGCCCCCAGACTTTCGCAGCGCATGGCCCTTTTGGGAGTACCTGGCGGAGCGGCTTCTCCTGGCCCACCAGCAGGTCTTCCGCTTTCTCAGCGGCGGCTCGAGGCGCCACGCTCTTTTGCTGTCTCCTACCGCTGTGTACCAGCCTGCCTCGGTACCTCAATGGCAGGCTACATGGCAGCTCGAGAGTGGGCCGCCTGCTCTGCCACACGCCCGCGCTACCGTAGGCCCCGAGCTCCACATGGACTTGCCCGATGTCGCTAATCACACAGTCGAGCGATGGTACGTGCGTTGGTGCGAGGCCAACTCTCCCAACTTACTCCACATTTATCCTCATCGCGCAGCGGGTGAAGGCCCCTATGCTGCCCGTTTCTCACCCGCTATAAGTTTGGTCACTGTCTACGTGCCCGACCAGATTTTTCTAGACCTCCTCCACACGGGGGCCTGGGAGCAGCCTGCTCTCATCCCTCGGCGTCTTCTGGAGGATGCAGCGGCTGGCAGCCCCATCCTAATTGATTTCCAGGCCATGATCCTGGTGCGGCCATTTTGCCTTCCGTTGTCCTACCTCTCTCGAACCCTCCGCCTCCCTGAACCATAGCCCCTCAGGCCATGCCGACCCCAGATGCGCAGCACCTGCCGCAGTTCGAGCACGGCGACGTCCGCTGCGCACCCACTGAGGCCGTGCCACCGCAGCCTACAGTCGTACAGTGGCTGGTAGTGATCACGGCAGGTCACATTCCGCTCTGGTCTCCACTGCCCATCAATGTGGGGCTCCTAATGGAGCAATTCCACGGGCAGGAAACCCGGCTGCCATCTTCAGTGGAGAGACCACGCTTTTTTCACCTCCCCATTCTTCAGGAGACCGACGCACGGTCCATTTTATTCGGCACGGGCATACCTTTTCGCACCGGCCTTTCGCTGCGGGTCAACATGCGCAGCGGAACCATCCTCATCCCTATCGACTCAGCGCCGGGCCAAGCATGCATCAGTCGGCCCATCAGGAGGGTCCTCCTCACCCAGGCGCACGCATAAGCCAGTTAGGTTTCACGCATATATGGCCGTTGGCTTATGGGCTATTTCTTTTCGCTCCTTCCGCGCTCCCCCTCCTCTCAGAGCGCGCGGCGCAGCCATGGTTCCTGCGGGCGGGCGCGCTTCGGCGGCGACTGAGGGGGCCGCGCCCCCGCAGGTGGCCGCGGCCGAGCCCTTCGGCCTATCAGGCGACACGTACTCGGGCTCGGCATGGCAGGGCTCCCAGTACATTGCCGCCAACAAGGAGTTCAAGAAATGGTGGCCAGCTACGTGCCCTGGCGAATGGAAGATGCCAAACGGCATGCTCTACCCGTTCGTGTGGAAGCTCAAGTCGCTCGACGTCATCAACGGCCAGGTCGTCGAAACTTGGGACTGGGAATGGATAGAGGCTCCAGGCCTAGCGACCATCTCAGAGGTCGAGACCGTGCTGCTGGAGGCCCGGGCGCGAGCGGCGGCGTCGGCGGCCGCGCGGCAGCCGCGCGGTGCATGAGCGGGCCCTAGAGCGCGCTTCCTCCCAGCCGGCGCCATCCCAGGTCGACAAGGGCGACCTTGGCGCTAATAATAGGTGGTGGGCTAGCCTTATACTCTAGTCTCTGTTCACCACGGCAGCCCACCACCTAGACAGCCCTAGCCAGCCACACGAGCCAAATGTTTACAGCTGGAGAGCCGTGCTGCTCCAATTTAAGATCGGCTGAGCCGACCTGCAATCCCGTTGCAGCGGGCCCATCAGTTCTTTCATCTAGCCCCATGCCAAGGGCCCGCTGCAAAGTCGTAGTCAGCACCAGTCTCCAGCTTCACACCTCTCTGCCGCACTAGCGCAGCCAACGCGACATTTTTAGCTAGCCCCGCTACCAGAAGAGCGGACAGCTAATGCTCACAGCTCAATTTGCAGACTCGCCACGGCTGAGTCTTCATCATAGGTGGTGGGCCAGCCTAATACCCTAGTCTCTGCTTATATCGGCAGCCCACCACCTAGATAGCCCTAGCCAGCCACACGTACCGTAATTCACCAGCTGAGCAGCTTTGCTGCTCCAATCTAAGGTCGGCCGAGCTGGCCTACAGTCTCGTCGCAGCGGGCCCTTCAGCTCTTTTCTTCAGCCCCATCCAGAGGGCGCGCCAGCTGCAAGAGCTGTAGCCAGCCCCAGTCTCTAGTTTCACACATTCTCGCCGCAGCATTGCGGCCAGGCCAAAGCGACGCTTTTGAGCAGCCATGCTACCAGTAGAGCGGTCGGAGCAATGCTCACAGCGCAATTCGCAGACTCCCCACGGCTGAGTCGATACTGCAGCAAGCAAAGTTGCTGCCGCAGCACATCCCACCCGCCGAGTAACTCTCGGCTAATGCTGCCCATCAGAGGTGCGTACCTCTACGGACAGCTACCGCGCCCTAGTGTTGCTTGGCTTGGCTAGATTATCCCTCTCCCTCCCATATGTTCTTCCCTCCCTTTTTTTCCTCGTTTACACCAAGACGTCAAGCACAGCACAGGCGTTCTCGCAGCTGCCCCCCTTTTCCGGTCACGTGCGTAACCGATGGGGCTTCATAGTCTCCTGGCTATTGCGGCAAGCAAAGATGCTGCCTCAGTACATCCCACCTGCCGAGCATTTCTCGGCGAATGGTGGCCGTCAGAGGGGCGTACCTCTACTGACAGCTACCGCGCCCTAGCGCTGCTTGGCTGGGCAAGATAATCCCTCTCCCTCCCTATGATCATCCCTCCCCTCTTACCACGTTTACTCCAAGACGCCCAGCACAGCACAGGCGCTCTCTCACCTGCCCCCTTTTCCGGTCACATGCGTTACCGATGGGGCTTCCTAGTCTCTTGGCGGCAACGCCAGCCTCTCCCTCCTGGTCCGCTCCGCCACGGCCGCCCTACAGTGCGGCAAGGCCATTTTGGCCCTCTTCCTACTCATCCCGCTCATTTCCATGGCTAAGCCATGCTCCCATCTGGCCGTCCCTGTGGCTAGCTTTGCTGCTCTTCGGTCGTTCAGCGCTGCCCGCATAGGGCAACGCCTAGATGGCGCGCTCAGTGTTTCTCGCACGGCACCGATCCCCTCTCTTCTTTTTATTCCCCCTCCCTCCCCTTCGGTGCCAATACCTCCCCCGCCCATCATGCAGGTCCAATGGCGAAGAATCGTTTTTGCCTGCGGACGGACCAGGAGCGGAGAACCTTTGCCGTGCCCGCTAGGCGGGCTCTGTCTGCCGCCTGGCCGACCTCGGCCACCCAGCTCAAGCTACTTGCAACGAGCCAAGTGCAGTCAAAAAAGCCTCCTCCTCATCCTCCTCCCTCCTCCTCCCTCCTCCTCCCTCCTCCTCCCTCCTCCTCCTCCCTCCTCCTCCTCCTCCTCCTCCTCCTCCTCCTCCCTCCTCCCTCCACCTCCTTTTCCTCCTCCCCCCTCCTCCTCCCTCCCCCCTCCTCCTCCTCCTCCCTCCTCCTCCCTCCTCCTCCTCCTCCTCCTCCTCCTCCTCCTCCTCCTCCTCCTCCTCCTCCTCCTCCCTCCTCCTCCTCCCTCCTCCTCCCTCCTCCTCCCTCCTCCTCCCCTCCCTCCTCCCCCTCCTCCTCCCTCCTCCTCCTCCTCCTCCTCCTCCTCCTCCCTCCTCCTCCCTCCTCCTCCTCCCTCCTCCTCCCTCCTCCTCCTCCTCCCTGGTCCAGGGTGCCCCCCCCTCTCCCCTGGCCATCTTTGGGGACCCCACGGGGCCTGGGGCCGGCCGGAGCCTTGTGAGGGCACGTCTGGCAGCACTCGACCAACCTCTCCCTCCCTCCTGCCGCTGCTCCTCCCGCTCCTGCTCCTGCTCCTCCTCCTGCCCCTCCTTCGACCAACCTCGCCCTCCTCCTCGTCCTCCTCCTCCTCCTCCTCCTCCTCCTCTCCTCCTCCTCCTCCTCCTCCTCTCCTCCTCCTCCTCCTCCTCCTCCTCCTCCTCCTCCTCCGCCTCCTCCTCCTCCTCCTCCTCCTCCTCCTCCTCCTCCTCCTCCTCCTCCTCCTCCTCCTCCTCCTCCTCCTCCTCCTCCTCCTCCTCCTCCTCCTCCTCCTCCTCCTCCTCCTCCTCCTCCTCCTCCTCCTCCCTCCTCCTCCTGCGCCTCGTGCTGCACTCGGCCAACCTCTGCCCCCTGCGGCCCCCGCTCCATGCCTCCCGCGCATCGATCGCATCTGCAAAGTCTCATGAGCGCACGAGGGTCCGAGACTGCTGCAGGCTCGACTGCTCTCGAGCCGACCTTCGGGTCGGGCGAAGGGGGGGATAGTAAAGGGGGGGTTGAGAATCAGCTCACGTAGCTGATTTTCCCGGCGCCTCCCGGCGCCGGAGGCGGCTATGTATCGAGGAATGGGCCCCTCGGTGAGGCCGAAACCAGCTGCATGCAGCAAATTTCGTACCCCCCCCTTTCCCAATCCCCCCCTTTCGCCCGGCCCGAGACCTCTGCAGGTCGGCGCCGCTTGTCTCTCGTGCGAGGACCTGACCAATGCCGACTGCCACCCTCCCCCCTTGTGTTGGAACGCATCGGGGTCCTGCGCCGCAGATCGGGTTCGGACGAGAGACCCACCAAATCTGATCATCGGGGCAGTCCCCCCTTGGACCCCCCGCCGCTGATGCCGGAACTCCGTGCTCGCTTCGTGTCCTCAGCGTTCGGGTGAGCACCTCGGCACGGGCACTGCGAACCCTCCCCCCTCCCCCGTGCCGTTCCCCTCGTCGTCCTCAGGATTTCGGGCACCTCGGCTCCGACCAAGGGGGGGTAACTCCGAACGTTTATGTTTACGTACGCCAGCTGTGCTTTCTTGGAGGCCGACGTGGGCGTGAGTGCGGCTGTCTCTGAGGTACGATCGGGTCGGATGAAAGGGGGGAGGCAATTGGGAAGTTGGGTGGGGGGGGGGGGCGAATCGGCACATGCAGCTGATTTCCTGGGCGCCTCCCAGCGCCGGAGGCGCCAACGCATCGGTGAAGGTGCCGGGCGGCGGGACCGAGGGCAGCTGCATGCGGCAGGCTGCGTCACCCCCACCCCCCCTTCCCTGTCCATCGCTCGGACGTCCCTTCCCTGTGCTTTTTTCTAGAGCTTTTTTCTAGAGGGAAGAGAACTATGCACATGCACCGATTCTGGCCAGGCCAATCCTGAGCCCAGGATCGGTGCATACGCCCTCCTACCTTGGCCAGGAAGGCATATGCACCGATCCTGGGTCAAGGATGGGCCTTGCCAGGATCAGTGCATGTGCATAGTTCTCTTCCTCCGATGTTTCGGCTTCGTGCGTGGCTTTTTCGAGCGGCCGAGCGATGCCAATGCAAGTTCCCTGCCCCCTCCGCCGCCCGACCGGGTCGTGCTGCGCCCTGGCCGGGGCGCAGATCGCCCGGAGACTCCCGATGCCTCGCCTGCCTGCCAACGCGCGGTCCCCAGAGTCCCGACCCGTTCCCCTAGGGCTCCCAACTTCGCGCTTCGCGCTGCGCGAAGCGCGAATAACTTCGCGCTCTCGCGCCGCCCTCCCAAAGGGAGAATAGGAGGACGAGGAGGAGGGGGAGGAGGAACGAGGACCGCGAAGCGCGAAGCGCGAATAACTTCGCGCCCTCGAGGGAGCCCTTGTTCCCAGGCGCCGCCCGCTCTGCACTCGTGGGCGGTTTCTGGCGGCGGCCCCGTGGCCTCTGCGAGGGCCCCCACGAGGCCGACCGCCGCGAGAAGCCTCCCTGCCCCTCCTCCTCCTCCTCCTCCTCCTCCTCCTCCTCCTCCTCCTCCTCCTCCTCCTCCTCCTCCTCCTCCTCCTCCTCCTCCTCCTCCCCCCCTCCCCGTCGCTCGGACATCTCCTGTGTTTTTTGGGGGTTTCGTGCGTGGCTTTTACGCAGGATGCTCCAGGATGCTCCTTAAAGAGTCCCCGCCGAGACAAAGTGCACACGTCCGAGCGATACCTTAAGCGCCTCGAGCACGACAGAACGGCGTGCCCCACAGGAAGGGGGGGACTTCTGCCTCTGGGCGGCCCGGGCGACGCAGTCCGCTAGGGCTCCCAACTTCGCGCTTCGCGCTGCGCGAAGCGCGAATAACTTCGCGCTCTCGCGCCGCCCCCCCAAAGGGAGAAAAGGAGGACGAGGAGGAGGGGGAGGAGGAACGAGGACCGCGAAGCGCGAAACGCGAATAGCTTCGCGCCCTCGAGGGAGCCCTTGAGTCCAACTGCACTCTGGGTACGACGTGCGTGCGGGGTCATCCTGGTCCCGGATGCACTGCCTCGCCATGGCCCCAGAAAGCATGCTGCTTGCACTTGGCTCGGCGGCGCGCCTGGGGGAGGGGTGAGAAGGGGGGAGGAGGAGGGAGGGAGGGAGGAGGAGGAGGAAGACTAAGAGGAGGAGGAGGAGGAGGAGGAGGAGGAGGAGGAGGAGGAGGAGGAGGGGAGGAGGAGGAGGAGGAGGAGGAGGGAGGAGGAGGAGGAGGAGGAGGAGGAGGAGGAGGAGGAGGAGGAGGAGGAGGTGGCCTTCTCGGAGAAGGCGGGGCTCCTCGAAGCCCGCCCGCCTTCTGAGAAGCCCTCCCCTGTGGCTCCGCAGAAGGCCCGCCCCTTCCGGCCTGCCCCTCTGGGCGCGCCGCCCGCTCACAGCTCGGGCCTCAGCTGGGCATTCGGGGCGCTCCGCGCCCCCCCCCCCCCCAGACGATCTCGGCGAGGCGCGGCTGCTGGTAAGCACCCCGAGGCGGGAACGTCTCGGTGCAGCGGCGACGCCGCCGGAAAACGTCCGACTTCGCCCCCCCCTGTGTAGTTCGACCCTGCCCGGCGCCGGCGTTGGCCGCTGCCCCTGGGTCTCAGGGAGCCCGCGCGGCTCGGCCCCACCTGGCGGCGTCGCCCGCCGCTCTCGGGTGAAGGGTTTCGGGGCGACCCTGCGCTACGGCGATGACATTTATATATATATATATATATATATATATCTGTGGGCTCCGCGCGACGGCACGGAGGCTTCATGCATGCATTCTAAGAAGGGGGCGGCGGGGCAGGCGGAGGGCCGCGAGAGCACTTACAGCCGCCAGCCGAGCCCTCACCAGCCCTCGGCGAGCTCCGCCGCGCTGCCTGCGCGGGCCGCCGCTGCCCTCGCGGCTCGCCCGCGCTCGCGGGCCGCCGCAGCGTCCGCGAAACCGTGGGCTCGGAGGACGCCCTCGAGCCCTGGGCGGACGCGCCGCGGCTCGGCGGCCTCCGCCCGCGGTGCCGCCGCGGCCAGGCGCCGGGGCGCCGCGGCGCTCGGCGGCGCTGCACCCTGGCTCCCAGCACCAGCCGCAGGCGGCGGGGGCGGGGCGGCTGCAGGCTGCCGCTGCGCTGGCACGGGCGCCGCCTCAAGCGCCTGCTCCTCCGCGCCGTGGCCCTGCCTGGCCAGGAGCGCCGCCGCCCAGCGCAGGCGAGTGCTCTCCTTTGGCGAGGCCAGCGGCGCGATCGGATCCTTCGACGCTGGCAGGATGCCACGTGCGAAGTCCGACCGCGCCTGAGCCCTGGAGCCCTTCTTGCTCTTGGGCTGCCCAGCCGCCGCGCTGGCCCCGCACGGCTTGCCCAGGCCGCGGCGCGCGTACCTGGGGAGGCGACAGTACATCCAGCAAGCCGCGCAGACCAGGAAGGGCTCGGAGTCGTCGCCCTCGACGCGCGACTCCATTAGGAGGTGGCCGTTGACCCTCCATCCCTCTGGACGGGCCGCATCTGCCGCCTCCGCAGGGGCTGGGCCGCTGCCCGCCGCCGCTGCCGCCGCCAGGCGCGGGCTGGGCGCGGGCGCCGAGGCCTCGCGGCGCCTCGGCTGCTCCTGCGCCCTGCGCTGGGCCACTCGGCGCAGCACCTCCGCGGGCGTCTCGGCCGAGGCTGGGCGACGCCTCGCGGGCGAAGGCCTCGAGCTGGAGGCGCCAGCTGCCGCCGCCGCTGCCAGGGCCGCCGCCGTGGCGAGGTGGGGGCCGCCGTCAGCCGCCGAGGCCTGCACCTCGCCATCGTCAGCCGCGCGCACCTCCGCGTCGTGCATCATCCCGAACTCGCCGCGCCCCTGGGACTGGACTGCGACTTCGGTGGGCTGAATCCACCTGTCCCAGGGGCGGGCTCCGCCACGGCGGCGTACAAGTAGTCGGCCTCGCCGTCGAGCTCCGCCGCCATGTAGGGGGTGAGGTCGACCAGCTCCAGCGAGCTGATGGGCCAGAAGTCCCGCATGCCCGACTCCGTGGCCTGGACCTCGAAATCGGCGGCGTAGCGTGCCGCGTCGCGGGCTCGGGCCAGGCAGCCCTGGAGCAGGAGGGCCTCCTCGTCGGCGATGGCGCGCAGCGCCGCGCCCGCCTTCGCGAGCTGGTCCGCGAGGCGGTTGCCGTAGAGCTCCACCTCCGTGAGTTCGCCCCGCTCGACGGCCGCCCGCGAACGGTGGGCGGGGATGTGCTTCACGTGCACCCCCTCGGCGGCGTCGCCGACCCTCGCCCAGAGGTGGGCGAACTGGGCCGTCGGGCCCGCCGCCCTCTTCACGTCCTTGCAGGCCCTGACCGTGCCGAGGCAGTCGATCATGAGGCGGTAGTGGCCGACGATGTCCGTGAGGGCGACCACCGCCGCGTAGTCCTCGCCTGCCCTCGCCGTCTGGCTGGGCACAAGGTCAGGCGGCACCGCCCCCCACGCCTGCGCCATCCGCTCGCCGTCGGGCGTGAGCACCACCACCGACCAGCCCGCGCTCCTGATCATCGGGAAGTCGTTGTTGACGCAGGAGCCGTCCGTGAAGACGAGGGTGCCCGCGGGCACCACGAGCGCGCCCTCGTCCCAGCCGCGCGAGCGGCGCTCCCAGCCAGGGTCCCAGCGCGGCCTCTGCACCAGGTACTGGGCGTCAACGAAGAGGCCCTGGCAGAAGAGCTCCTCGCAGCGGTGGCCCATCGTGCTCACCAACTCGGCAGCTCGCTTCAAGTCGGCGGGCCTGCGATCTCGCCGCCAGCCCTCCCAGGCAGGGCACCTGTGGTGGCGGTGGGCCAGAGTCCCGCTCTCCTCGCCGCAGAGCAGGCAGCGGTCGTCGATGTCGGTGCCGCGCTTGGCCAGCCTGGCCTGCGGCCAGAGTGACAGAGCCGCCAGCCTGCGCAGGCAACCGCAGTGGTGGCTGGACCACGTCTCCGTGGGCGCGGCGCCGAGGAGCTGGTTGATGGCCCGCCAGTTTGGCGGCAGCTGCCACGGCCACAGGGTCTCAGGCCTGGCGTCGTACTCCTGGAAAGCTGCCGCCTTCCTGGCCGCCTCTTTGGCCTTCTCCGCAAAGAAGGCGGGGGAGTACCGCAGGACGGAGTAGCAGCAGCCAACGGCGATGACATTGGACAAGGAAACCTTCGATAAGGAATCCAGGGTCTGGAGGCTGGTGGAACTCCAATCGAGGATCGGCCATGGATATCACCGCCGCCCACGTCAGATAAGGAACCCTCCAGGGTCTGAAGCCTCCTGGACACGTTCCTTAACGAACGCCCCCACCGTACTCTACCCCTACGCTGGCCCCCTGCGAAGTCCAGCCACCGCCTTCAGCGGGCCCGCGGCGCTTCCTTTCCGTGCTGAGGGTGGTCTGAGTGCTCTTACACACAGGCGGTCTGTCGGCTCCCCCTCAGGAGACCACCTGGAGGTCCCGAAAGGCCCCCGAAAGGCCCCGGGAAGCCCCCAGCAGGCGCCCGCCCAAGCGAGGTGGCGGAATCGCCCAGCAGCGCAACTGGATTCGTGGAGCGCAAGAGGAGGAGGAGGAGGAGGAGGAGGAGGAGGAGGAGGAGGAGGAGGAGGAGGAGGAGGAGGAGGAGGAGGAGGAGGAGGAGGAGGAGAGGAAGGAGGAAGACTAAGGAGGAGGAGGAGGAGGAGGAGGAGGAGAGGAGGAGGAGGAAGAGGCTAGGAGGAGGAGGAGTAGGAGGAGGAGGAGGAGGAGGAGGAACGAGGAGGAGGAGGAGGAGGAGGAAGACTAGGAGGAGGAGGAGGAGGAGGAGGAGGAGGAGGAGGAGGAGGAGGAGGAGGAATCGCACGTCGGTGTTGGCTTCCAGGAGTGCGTCGACGTGTCTAGAAGTTCGCCGCGAGGGCCCGCTCTGGCCGCGCGGCTCCTCTCTGGAGGGCGGACCCTGAGGGAAGCTCCCTGCCTGCTCGGGCGAGACACACCCTGACAGAGAGCGAGAAAGAGAGGGAGATGGAGAGGAACAGAAAGTGAGGGAGGGAGAGAGGCAGGGAGGGACGGAGGGAGGGATGTAGAGAGAGAATGAGAGAGGGAGACAGCAACAAAGAGAGAGAGAGAGAGAGAGAAAGGGAGATAGAGAGAGAGAGAGGGGGAGACAGAGAGAGAGGCCGGGAGAGAGACGGCCCGGATCTGCGCGATGGCAGGTCGCGCCGGCGCCACACGTCAAGCCGCGCGTGTGCTGTTGGGGCTGGCGCACGGCGACGGTGACGAGGAACGAGGAGGGGGAGAGAGCGAGAGAGGGAACAGCAAATGTCGGTGGCAACTGATGGGAGATTCCCAAACCATCTTCCCGGCTCTTGCGAATCGGTACAAAGCGAAGCTCATCGATGCCAAACTGATGCTAAGTCGACGCTGGTCGACGATGATCGATGGCAAACTGGCGCTATCTCATCGACCGCCAGACGCTAGTCGACGCTAGTGTTGTGGATGCCACGACAATGGACAGCCTAACAGTCCTATCATCGAATTGAACATGTGTTTCAAACATCGGAGAGACAGTTTTTTCATTTGTTAACACCAGTTTTAACACATGTTCTAGACACTTGGAAATTATTTGGCAACATGCTTCCTCTCCATTGATCGTCCTCCACAACGCTCGTGCACTCTAGGCTCCCATGATTTGCCACCGAACAGAACATACCATGGGAAAGGGAGAAAGAGATACAGAGACAGAGAGAGAGAGAGAGAGAACAAACAAAACATATAGGGATAGGGTTAAATCGGGTGTGCCCCCCGACACGGGGATCTTGGGTGAAAAATTGAGAAATACTCATAAAATACCTCCCAAATGCTCGAATCAAATATAGTCAACACATCGTCCCCTGACTACTTTTATAACTATTTTTGAATATCCCCCCTGTAGAAGGACACGCCCGACGTAAGGATAGGGCAGACGAGGCAAGGGGGTTCCATAGCAGGCTGGCTGAGGCGCCGACGCTGCCGCTTGCGCCCGCTCTTCCTGTGCGGGCCCTTCTCTGGAGTGTCCGCCTCGATGCAGCGCTGCGCCTCCTTCGCCGGCGCGCGCCCCGTCGTCAGGGTGCCCCGGAAAGCTATTTTTCCGTCGGGCGTGTCCCCCCACAGGGGGATCTTGGGCGAAAGCTAAAGGAATACTCATCAAAAATACCCCCAGAATATTCAAGAAGAGTAACAAAAATCGTCCCCGGACTATTTTTGTTACTATTTCTTCCTTATTCCCCCTGTAGAGGGACACGCCCGACTTAATGTTATCTGGAGCTCCTGGGGCTCTTCCCTGCGTTCGGAGTTAGCTCCTGGGAGGTCGTCCGTGGGCACAATTAATGATTCATGAGCCAGCTGCGGGGCCTGCTGAGCCGGATTCGAAATCAAGCTGCACACGAAGCCGGATCGAACCGCATCAGGCCGGATCCAGCTCGACTAGGCCGGAGCATACCCAAGGAAATACGAGCGCCGGTGCTGAATCTGACCTCCCAGGAATTGCAGCCTAGCCCGTGATTTGAACTCGGAGGCTCCCTCAAGATTCCTTTGGCTCGTGGCCGTGGAGCGCGTGTCACCTCCACGGCCTCGCGGTCCGGGCAAACCCGGCGAGGACACTGCGGATGCACGGAGGCTTTGCGCGGATGCCCCAGGCAGAACTTGTCTATGGGATCGCGTATCCATTCGATGGAACTCTTGTATCCAATACGCCAGGGAACGGATATGGATATGCTCGCAGCTCGTGATTGGCCCCAACCCGGCTCTTGTCTCTTACTTGAAGTCTGCAAGTCCCCAGACCCCCGACGTCGTGATTTGTTCGCAACGTCGACCTGTGAGGGCCCCGAGAGCCGAACACGAGCACCTCCCGTCGTGATGCTGTCACGACGCGAAGAGGTCTGGGTCGGAAGTACCCGCGCCCTGCGCATGCCCCAAGCGCAAGCGCCCCTCTCAAGCCAAGACCTAAATTTCTGATCACCAACCTCCCACGACTAGGGGCTCTAGAGGCCTTCCAGATGGAATTCCATCAGATTGGGTCGGAAGATCGCGCCGCATCGCCGATGCATCGCCGATACGGCGCGATCCGTCGACCCCATCTACGGCAGGTTCGCGTCCGTTCGAAAATGGCACTGACTCCTGACACCGCGGGGATCCTTCAACCTTGAACGTTCGCCCCCGCGCCCAGGAGGAGGCTCAGGAGGGAGGGAGGAGGGGAGGGAGGAGGAGGAGATGGAGAAGGAGGAGGAGGAGGAGGAGGAGGAGGAGGAGGGGAGGAGGAGGGAGGAGGAGGGAGGAGGAAGGAGGAGGAGGAGGAGGAGGGGAGGAGAGGAGGAGGAGGAGGGAGGAGGAGGAGGAGGAGGAGGAGGGAGGAGGGAGGAGGAGAGGAGGAGGAGGAGGAGGAGGAGGAGGAGGAGGAGGAGGAGGAGGAGGACGATGCTGGGTCGCAGGCGGCGTCTGCGCTGAACGCCAGCAGCGAGGTCGCCGCCCGACGACACGACGCGAACCTGCCGCACCCCGTCCACATCTGAGGTCTAGAACGACGCCCCCCCTCCTCCTCCTCCTCCTCTCCCTCCTCCCCTCCTCATCCTCTCCTCCTCCTCCTCCTCCTCCTCCTCCTCCTCCTCCTCCTCCTCCTCCCTCCTCCTCCTCCCTCCTCTCCTCCTCCTCTCCCTCCTCCTCCTCCTCCTCCTCCTCCTCCTCCTCCTCCTCCTCCTCCTCCAGCGTGCGCCTTCGGCATCCTCTGGGACCACCTCTGGGGTCGCCCGCTCCTGCCCCGCCATCGCTCGGACGCCCATTCCCCGTGCACTGTTCGACTTCGTGCGTGCGCTGTCTCGCTAGGTCAGGGGCACGAAGAGTGACACCGGCATAAAAACTCGGAGGTCCGCGCGGATTTCTCGGATCCGCGCTGGACCCCCCTCCCTGGCGCGCGGAACGCGCCAGGGGCGGCGCCGGAGGCGCCGCCAGGGAGTCCAGCGCGGATCCGAGAAGTCCGCGCGGAACACCGAGCTGTTATGTTTATCTTCGTTCCCCTATAGATTCGGGAGCGGCCAAGAGGGGGGTGCCCAAGAGGGAGTGGTGCAAAGCATGACCGGCGGCACGTGCACGGCCCAGCGGGGGGGGCCAGGGACGTAATGAAACAAGAAGAGGCGCCATGAGATCTGGGGACATGGCCCCCGCCATGATATCCCCCCCCCCCTAGTCATCACCCCCCTCTTTTCCGCCCCCGACTACCCAGACATCCGACGTCTCGATTTTTTCGAGACACGGGCCCCCAACCTCCCGACCACTTCCCCGGGACCGGTTTTTCATCCCGAGTCGTTTTTTGACGGCCCCGAGGCCCGGCGAGGGCCTCCAGGGGCCGAAAACGACGAAAAACCTTTGTCTCGATTTTTTCGAGACGCCCGAGGTCTGGGTCTTTTCCGCCCCCGACTATAGATGATGTAGGATGCTCCTCGATGGCCCTGGCCGGAAAGGAGGCACCCGTCCGGGCGGTGCCAGCCCGCCGGCCGCGCGCCAACCGCCGCTCGCGCTCGGACTCGGGCGGCGCTCCCGGGGCGGCACGGCGCTCCGGGCCCTGCCCTCCTTCTCCTCCTCCTCCTCCTCCTCCTCCTCCTCCTCCTCCTCCTCCTCCTCCTCCTCCTCCTCCTCTCCCCTCCTCCTCCTCCTCCTCCTCCTCCTCCTCCCCTCCTCCTCCTCCTCCTCCTCCTCCTCCTCCTCCTCCTCCTCGGGGGGCTCGCGGGGCGCACCTGGGGGCCGCGCCACGCCACGCCGCCCTTGCCGACCAGCCACAACTGGGGGAGCTGTGGTCCTTGCCCCCCTGGGGGAAGCCATCGCGTCGACGATCTCTCGAGAGGGGTGTCGAAATCGATGGGTCCCCCAGGGGGGTAAGGACCACCGCTCCCCCAGTTGTGGCTGGCCTGCCTTGCGTTGTGGCAACCCTCCCCCTGGTGGGGTCCTCGTTGTGGACGGGGCATCGCTTGCTCCATTCAGTCAGTCATGCCAGCGGAAACGCGCGTCAATGCCGCGCGCCCCAAACACCCCGCGGCCCGCCAACATGCGACCCGCTCACACCTTGGAGGTGGGTGGAGAACCCTTCCCGGTGCACCGCCAGACACCGAGGCACCCCTGTGGGGGCTTGGGGGCATCGCTTGCTCCAAGCTCCTTGCTCCCGCCTCCCTCCCCCACCCCGTTTCCTTATAACAAACTCCTTCCCATCGCACCCCGAGGCGTGTCGGTAGGGCGGGCCAGGCGTTTCGCATGAGACCTTCTCACCACTTATGACCCTGCAGCTTGAACTCTGCAGCAGCCTCATGGATGGAGGGCGGTTCGTTTTTCGAAATGGTGCTCTCGCCGTAGCGCCGCGCACATGCATCTTAAACATCTGCAGCATGTCATAGGATGCCGGGCGGGCCGTGTCAGACATGCGCCTTTCGCATTAGCGCCGCGCGCATGTGTCAGGAACATTCTGCAACATCGGGGATCTTCTGACCCGGGTCAATCCAGACCCGGGTCAGCAGGATACCAAAAACTGCAACGCAGGAGAAATTATCCCGGCAAAGCAACCTAACAGCGATGTGTAGGAGCATATCTGAAAGCATTCCCCTTAAGATTCAGATGAAAATCCAGTTGTCGAATTCTGCTGTTCTCGCAGTCGTAGTCGCATTCGCGATGACAGTCGCAGCGGCAACGGCAGTCGCAGTCACAGCCTCAGCTTGCCTCAGCCTCAGCCTCAGCCTGCCTCAGCCTCAGCCTGCCTCAGCCTCAGCCTCAGCCTGCTTCAGCCTCAGCCTCAGTCTGCCTTCAGCCTCGGCCTCAGCCTCAGCCTGCCTCAGCCTCAGCCTGACGCGACTCAGACCCTAAGGCCTTAAGCCTCAGCCTGCCTCAGCATTAAGACCTGGTTCAGCCACTCTCCAGACCTCGCCTGCCCATAGCTCAGCCTCAGCCTCAGCCTGCTTCAGCCTCAGCCTCGGTCTGCCTTCAGCCTCGGCCTCAGCCTCAGCCTGCCTCATCCTCAGCCTGCCTCAGCCTCAGCATCAGCCTGCCTCAGCATTCAAAATGTGGCCCGGGAATGGAGTTCTGGGAACTCGAAGAACACGAAGTGCCTACAGTTGGCTCCGGGCATTCAAAATCATGCCCAGCACCAGGAATACGAATTCTGGGCGAATTGGTAGCACGAAGCTGGCCTACACGTTGGATTTCTCGTGAGCAAGCCACGAACTAGAGGGCCCGGGGAAAACGAGGGGAAAGGAACATTCTGCGGAAATACGAAAAACACGAAAGTGGCACTAAGTTGGGCGCTCCCCGGCCAGCTGGCGATGTTGGCCAGACGGAATGGAAGCGCCACTTGGAGGAAGTCGTCACCAGAGCCACAAGAAAGAGTGGCCTATAGTTGGCTCCGGGCATCCAAAATGTGGCCCGGGAATGGAGTTCTGGGAGCACCAAGAGCGATTTTGCGAGGATGTCCCAAGCGATTTCGGCTTCGGCGGCAGCTTCGGCGGCAGCCTGTCCGGGTCCCGCCCAGACCCCCCTGAGGAGTCATGATGCTCTCTTTTGAAACCACTAGAAACCTATCAGCAAGAGCTGTTAGGTAAAAACTGCAACGCAGGTCTTCGCATACCCAGGTCAGCCAATATGCGCGGCCGCCTCGCGGCCACGAACGGCTCGCTAACCCAGGTCAGCCAGAGGGGGTCTTCGCAGGATCCTGCAGGATCCGGCGCCCTGGCTGACCCCCGTTTGCATTGACCCCCGTCTCTGGAGCCCCGACAACAACTTCAAACTATGAAGCCGGCTCGTTTCCACAATGCGGCTCTCGCCTCAGCGCCGCGCCTAGTCGTCCTAAAGCTCGCAGCAGCTTTCATGGAGGGCGTGCCGACTTCAGCCATACACCCTGCGAGATGCTTAAAAAATCATGGGTTAAGAAATTCATAGTCTCAGAATTTGTACAACAACTCAAAATGTCTATTCAAATCTTAAGATTTACATTGAAACATTAAGAATGATCGAGACTCTGGCCGAAAACTTGGGTTTTCTTAAGCATCGCCTAGAGTGTACGCACGCAT